AGAGATTCAGTCTTGTGCTCTCATTAGTAAAATATGACAATTGTATAATTGGAAAATAAAAGCAAACGACATAGGATATAAACCACAACTATATCCTATAGACTCATGTATTATAATTCCTACCAAAATGATATAAAGCAAGATATGATACAGATATATAAAAATGATAATGTAAGACAGTTCTTTGTGAATAATACTATAATGCTTAGCAAAACAAGTGCTAAACAATGATATCCATATTAATTGAAAATAATCAATAAAATCCCTTTCTAAGGCATTCTAAAAATTAATTAAAAGCACATGGTCATGTGACATGACAGTTTCAACCACCTTCACTCCTTTTGTATTTCATTTGTAAGGAGAAGGCTCAACCTAGAGAACTTTTTCTGAAGAACCACTGCTTTGTGAGGAGAGACACTCACAAGAATTCTTCTGCAAATTCTATAGTCTTAACTAGTATTTTTATTTATACATTGTTCTTTTCTGTGTTGGGTAGGTGTTGAAGGAAGGTGAGAAGTGTCATTCAGTTGAAAAGATAATTTAAATAATGTTATGATTGCCAAGATCTCTGCTAAGTGTATATCATTGAATCATACCAGTAAACTGTCAGTCCTTGGCATACAGAAATATCAGATGTCTCTTTTAGTTCTGTTGTATATAGTGAATACAATCTTAAAGATGACTTATTTCAGGTCTTTAAAAATTGGATACTTCAATATTTTATCAAATATACATACATAGCATTTAGCTTTGTTTGTTGTGTAAAAGCTGTTGATTCATTTTTTATGGCTTATCAACCCTTTTCCAGGTTATTTAAAGCCAGAAAATATGTTTAGTTTCTAAGAATTTTTTTTTTGAGGTAATAATGGTTTAATGATACAAGTCTTGCTAATTAACCCATAGATGGGGAGAGAAGAGGTGGGTTCGTATCTTTCCCAAATGTATTTGCATATAAATGAATATAATGAACTGAAATGGAACTGGAAGTGGATCTTGGCTCTTCGATTAACAATTCTGAGCCATTATCTATTACACCACCCACACATCTAAGCTTACAGAACCTGATATTCCCAAATGACCACCCATCTAGTTACTGTCCAGGCTCGACATTGCTTAACTTCTGTGATCATACAGGACCTGGTGTTTCAACGTGATATGGACATAAGCCTTTGTTGAGTAAAAGACTAAAAATAAGTAGATGTTTTGTTTTAGGTGTGTGTTTATTTTATGCAGTGAAACATTCTCTATTTATGGGTCATGCAACCTGATCTACCCTACTTATTAATGGAATATTTAGGCATTATAGTAGCAAGTAGCATTATTTATCTTATATCACCATAGCGACACAATATCTCATTAGTAAGTAGTGATAACAGGTTCCTAATACACTGCTTTTGATTTCTTTCATTTTAGTTTTCTTTAGATATTTTTTTATTTTAATGATTTGCAAAACAGGATTATTTCTTAGATGTAACAATTGGATTAATTGTAAAGATAAATATCTTAGATTACTCACACAGGAAATATAACTAATACAATTGCAAAATTAATTTAATATTTCTGTCATTTTTTTTATGGTATATGTTTTGTTAACTTTCTTGGGATATTTTTACTTTCCATGACTTAAGAAGCAGAATTCTCTCTTACCTACAACTATAAAATTAACTGTGAAGATAAAAGATTTTGCATGCTGAAAATATAATCAATACAGGTGGAAAATTACTTCGCTATAGTGAACATTTTTTTTTACAGTATGTGTTAACTAATAATCATATTATAAGCCTTCTTGTTACTTAGCTCATACCAATACCTTATAAATAATGAACTACTCCATTTTCATCAGGTGGAAAGATGGAAAAGACATGAAAAAGTTGCTGTTTTTTTTTTTTTTTTTCAGTGAGAAAAAGAAAAGATAGAGAAGGTGATAACACTTTCATGTCTTTAATATCTGTTTTAGTGAAATGAAAAACTTGTCAAATTTTAAATCTTTTCATTTGTACCCTCTTACTTCTTTATATAATGACCTGCATTAATATTTACGGTTGTTATTGCAATATTTTGTCAACGTTGTTAAGCACAAATATTTAATGATGCAGTAGTGTAATTTTTATGGGTAACTTAGTCACAGAACTCACAAGGAGCTTATTCAATTATTAACTTAAGAATTATGATTTATCAGAAAATTCAAATAGCAAAACCATGAAATTTTCATCAGTACTACTAGTAGTAACAATTTTACTGCTTTGATGATCATTGTCAGAAATCATATGATAAAATAAATCAATTAGAAAAAATGTTTTGAGCCTTTAAATCTTATTTTCCTTTGGGGATTTATGCTTTAAATGATTTAAAAAAAACAATTCTTTCTTACATGTGATGATAGAGTTAACAGTAAATATAAATTCTTCGATATACAAAAAATATTACCAATGCAATTATAAAATTACTTGAAACATTGGAATCACTTTTTGACTTTATGATTCATGTTAGTTTTCTTGTATATTCTTATAGTTAAAGTAGGATTCTTTCAAACATGCAACAATAGAGTTAATTGTAGAGATAAAATCCTTGTTTGCTCATGCTGAAAATAATCAATGCAATTACAAAATCATTTTCATGTTGCTGTCATTTTTTTTTATGGTACTGATAAACAAATTTTTAAGATTGGTTAAAGTATGTCTATACTTGTGATTTACAAAATGGAGCCAACTGAACTGTAAAAAGAAAAGACTTTGAAAATAATGTCTTCTTAAAAATTGTTGGTTGCACTCTCGAGGTGTGACTGCTAAAAATTTCCCTCCACCTATTTATAAACAAATCCTGCAAATGTGATGCAATTTCTACCTAGCCAATAAAAATGGACAATTCTTATTTATCTACACGATTTTTTCTTTCTTTTTTTCGATTGATTTCTTTCCTACAGCTTATCAATCCTTTGCAGGTTATTTAATGCCAGAAAATATTTATAGATTCTAAGAATAATTTTTGGAGATAATAATGGTTTATTGATAGAAAGTCTTACTAATTAACCCATAACTGGGGGAAGACATGTATTCATACCTTTTCCAAGGATATCTGTGTATAAGTGAACATAACAAACCTGACTTGAATTGGAACTCAGCTCTCAGAGTAACAATTTGGAGTCATTATGCACTACACCATCCACACACCCAAGTTTACAACACCTGGTATTCTCAAGTGCTTGCCCATCTAGGCAACTGATTCAGTAAAAGACTAAAAAATGTAAATATTTTGTTTTGGGTGTGTGTCTATTCTATATGAAACTTTATATATTTATTGGCCATGAAACCAGAGCCACCCTATTTATTAATGGGATATTTAGGTATTACAATAGCAGGAAGCATTATTATATCACCATAGCAGTGTGACCAGACTCAATGTTACTTAACTTTGGTGATCATACAGGAACCAGTGTTTTAACATGATATGGCCATAAGTCTTTTTCTTTCTTGCCTTGAAGACAGAAAGCTACAACCACTTGAATATGCGTCCTGGGTATGACAATAAACTATATCCGCATCCTGGGTAAGACGATAAACTATGTACAGCAGCAAGGCCTCTGGTCATGAGGAGTGTGGAACCACTTCTTAATTGCTGGTGTTCCCAGGTCCACCCTGACCCAGGGTGGTAGCACCTGTTAGAGTCCCAGCTATGGGCAAATAGTTAACCCTGAAACTGGGGTAAAAACACTATGAAAGTGTAAAAATAGGTTTTAATACCAGAAATACTTTGTGAAAAAATTATTACCAGCAATAAATTTTTGAAGAAAAAAACTATTACCAACAATACGTTTTTAAAAAAAAATTATTACCAGCTATACATTTTTGAGGAAAAAATTATTACCAGAAATAGATTTTTGGCAATGCAAAATATTACCAGCAATAAAAATTTTGTCGGCATTGGATAGTCTGTTGGGGTTGATATGCTGTAAAACAAATCAAACCAAGTGAGTAATTTAAAAAAAAAAATTTTTACAAAAATAAAACCATCCAAGCATGTAAATATCCTAAAAGAAGTTGGATTGTACTCAAAAATATGAGTAATTGAAAAATGGTTCAAATATATATGTATACATACTTTTTTTTTTTTTTTTACCAAACTATCGCTATGAATCTATTTCAAAATTTTGTTGGCATTAAATGACTCACTGAGGTTTTGATATGCCATGAAACAAAACAACTAAAACAACCACTTGACTGTATCCCTTTTGCATATGAACATTGTTTCTGTTTTGTGAATTTTTTACTTTCCTACTGTCTTATAGTTGCTTTGATTTGTCTTGCATTACATTGTCTTATCTCATATTATTTTGCCTTTTTCTTCCTTTTTAAGTTTAATGCAAGTTTTTTTTTGTTTTTATTTTACAAAAATATATCTATAAACATATATCCAGCATTCAACAGATACTCAATTCTCTATTTACTGTTGTTCACATATTTTGGCTGATTCATTCTTCAACCCTTATCAAGTGTAATCGATGACAAAGAGGAAATATCTAATTCTAGGTAACAATAGAAATTGTTCATTAATGGAATAGTCTATTCTCACAGCAGAATATATAGGGGTATGATTGGGCATAGTCAAAAATCCTTCTGGTTCCCTAAACATAATTGTCATCGCATTGCCTGTGGAGAATGCTACTTTAAACTTCTTCTTTCTGGGTCAGATCATTAATTTTATGACTTCTCAGCTGACATGAAGAGGAAAGAATATATTGAATCCATTGCTAGGTCATCTGCTAAGAAAGTTGGTTCACTGTGTCGTGCGAGACAATTTTTCTCTCCAGAATCTATCTTGTATATCTATAAGTCTACCATTCATCCAAGCTTAGAATATTGTTGACACATGAGGTCTGGTGCTCCTGCTATTTACCTTGAGCACCTTGGTAAAATCCAAAGAAGAATCAGCAATCTTATTGGTCCCAATCTGGCAACTTGGCTTCAGTCACTTTCCCACTACCATAAGGCTGCTTCTTTGTACCTTTTCTATAAATACTCTTGTGGTAATTGTTCAGATTCATGCTAAGTGTTCATCTAGTACCTTTTTAATTTAAGTACTAGACTGGAGTTGAAATCTTATCAATTTAGAGTTAAGCTGGCTAGATATAGTCATAAATTCTATGCTAATAGTTTCTTTTCTTGCACTTCTCACTTGTGGAACTCCCTTCTGGCTCCATGCTTTTCAGCCAACTTTAATCTGCAAAAATTTTAATGCATTGTCAATTGCTATCTACTGTCCTCCTGATTATTTTTTCTCTTCCTGCTCATTATTCATGTTTCTGTTCCTAATTCTTCAACACCCTGTAACCCCTTGTGGCTTTACCAGCTTGCATGGGGTGATACCGATTAAAAAAAAAAAAAAAAGACTAAAAAGCTTTTCAAAAGAATCTGAATAAAACTTTGTCCATCAAACAATTTATAATAATATAATATATATAATTTATAATAATGATGACAGTAACTGAAAAATATAGTTTTCACCGGATCAGTATTTGGTTAACAAAAAAGTTTGTTTTTAGTATATTTCTTACTAAATGCATTAATTTTTTTTATTTATTTATTACATGGAACACCAGTTTACCAAATGCTATCATACAGCAGTCGTTAATAGGTCATGTTAATTACATTTATAGAATGCTTGGAAGGCTTTTACTCTTAATAAGTAAATTAACTTATTTTCCTTTTCTTTTCCTCTTCTCAAAAGATTTATGCCCAATTCATCTTTGAAACAAGTCTACTTATTTACTTTGATGATTTTATAAACACTTGACCAAATTAAACTATTTCTCTTGCCTTTCTTGCATTGTGAACATTTGCTAAAATTCTATTAAAAGTTTGACTCACGGTTGAGTAATTCATATATCTTCAACAAAACAAATTTCTCATTAAAGTACATTGGCAGTGAAACATGGCTCAGTAGTTAAAGCACTGGTCTATAATTTGCAAGTTTCAGGCTAGACAGATGAGAATCACTGACAATGACATGGTAAATCAGGGATCAGACTGTTAGATAACAAGTGACATTGTTAACAGCTTGATCTCAGTGCTTGCTTGGTTGGTGAGCATGCTTAACAAAGAACACACAGCATTGTGTTTATACTATTTAACTGGTTGGTCTATTGCTGACTATTAGTGCCGGGTTGG